GCGTGATGTATTTTTGAGGCTGTTTTTGCTTTTGTTTTTCTTGTAGCTTACGGTTGTAAAGGGTTCTTCTTGTATTTCGATAGGGTCTATTTCTGGTGGTATATTTATAGGCATTGCCTCCCTGTGGTCAGCATTATCTGTTGCTAATAGGGTTTTTGTAGACATAGCCTCTGTGTGATTAGAATTATCTATCGCTGATAGCATGTCTGTAGGCGTTGTCTCTGTGTGGTTGGTGCTGGTTAGGGCAGTGTGTGGGTTCAATTTTCCTGGTAGGTCTGTTACCATCATCTCTGGTTCTGGTTCGACCATCTCTGCCTTTTGTTCTGGTTCTGTGTTCTTGGTGTTGTCATATTTGTTTGGTTTAGTGGCAGTTGTATCTACCTTTGTATAAGGGTTATCTGCACTAAAGTTTAGTTCTGTGAACGGAGTACTAGCAGCTCTAGCTTTTTCTCTTAGTTCACTAGTTTTTCTTAAGTGCTGTCGGAGTTCTATTGACTCCTTTAGTTCTCTGCAGTCTTTTTTAATATGGCCTTCTTTATCGCAGTAGAAGCATACTTTGGGTGCTTCCTTCCATTCGGTCAAGATTTTGTGGTTTTCTATATGAGTGCTTCTAGGAATTCTTGAACATAGATCTGGGTCATTTGTAGTCTCGAAGGTTAGCAGCCATTGGTCTGAGCAAACCAAGGTTCCTTCATATAACAGTGGTTTTATTGCAGAGATTTTGCCTACATCCTGAAATACTTCAAGAATATTGTTTGTGATCGATTTGATATCCCCTATAGGCATGTTCTTGAGCTTGACTGTAAGGAAGGAGCGGTTAGAATTTACAGGTAAGTAGCCAAAAATGGTGCTTTGAAGCAGGCTAATCCCTTCAGCAGCATAGAGTTAGAGTTGTTTGTTGTCCTTAAGAACTATTTCAAGTGAGGATTGTTTACCTCTAGACATGTGGACTTTGGCACCAACTAGATCATCACCCAACTTTATAGCTAGAGCTGCGATTATATCATTTGTAGAGAAGTTTTCTAGTTTTTGAATATCTAGGATGAGTGCATTCTCATTCTTTGAGCGAATTCTTTGTCTTGGGGTAGAGTTTGTGAATACAGCTTTTCCTCCTTTAAGTTTAGGGAAGAGGTCAGACCATTGTCTTGGTTTGGGTTCTTTGTTATTAGTTGTAGCAGTTTCTGTAAAGCTGGTAGATTTAGAAGTCTTCTCGTGACTTGGAGATGTGTCACTTGCTGATTGGTCCTTTTTGTCAGACACGTGTTCCATATCTGGGCTTGCGGTTTTGTTGGACTTTGATGTTGTTGTTTTTGCATTTACACTATGTGTCTCAGTTTGTTTTTGGTGGTCGACTTTAGTAGTGTTGAGTTGTTTTGTTCCATTAGTTGTTTAGTACGCGTTTATTTTGTTGTTTGTTTGAACATGGTTTGTTTTTGAGTTGGCTGTGGTTTTACATGTTCTTTGAGGCTCTTGGGGAGTCTTTGCCTCCACGTTCTTTAGTTTTGCTTCTTCTATCTCCTCTATTTGTGCAGCCCAACTAGTTTCTGCATTTTTAGCTTCAGAGAAGACTGTGTCTGTAGTGGTTACTGTTTGAAGATCAGATTCCTGGATGCTTTGGTTTTCTAGATTTTTGTCTTTATTCTCTACAGTGAAAAACTTGAAAACTTTTTCCTCCTTGTCTGGTGACTGCTTGAGTTTCTTGTTTTGTTGTTTGCCCATGTTTGTCGTGAAGTATTTTCTTTTTGTGGGCACTAAGGCCCTGGTTCCTTTAAGGTTGTTTGAGGAAAAGGGAGAATTTTTTGTCAAAATTTTGTTTTGTGCGAATTTTCCGGTGATGTACCAGAAAGAGTTTTTATTTGGTAATCTTTTTTCAGTCAAAAGTATATGTACAATCAACAAACTCACAATGGGAATGATAAGGAGAATAGAGATCCAAATATAAACTCCCCTCTATGTATAAGTGGATCAAACAAGAAAATATACTAAATAAGAAGGACATATTCTGGTGCCTATCTCATAGGGCTTTCCCTTTGGGCTACCGATTAGCTCATATTAGTCCTAATATCTCTGGAGACTGTCCCAACTGCCCACACACTACACAAACCTTAGAACACTTCAGCCTAAAGTGCTCCTTGAGTAAGACAATCTGGAGCATAGCCTATAAAGCCTTTAAATCTTCAAACTATAGCATCCCCTCCTCGTGAAAGGACATATTCGAAGCTTCGAATATCTCTAACCTCAAGGAGAAGTATGCAGCAATCTGGCTGCACATAACTACTATATACGAAATTTGGTGCTAGTATACCCAGGCCAAATGGGGAAATAACTTGCTTCCAGCAAAAGCAATGGTTAATATACTAAAACACAGACTAAAATATGAATTCGAACTGCTACGCAAACTATCCTATAGTAAAATTAGTTCTAAATCTAAAGCAGCTAATA